TTTTTTTTTTTTTTTTTGGGGGGGGAGGCCAATATATATATTTTCATTTGACAAAATAAAACAAGTTTTTTACCCCCAAAAAATGTATATTTAATTCTTAGAATACCTACAAATTATGTGTAAAAAGCAGTTTTGCTTAAAAACTATTATGTTAACTACAGGAACTTAGCTGGTTGAGTAAAGTTAAGTAAGCACAGATTGCTGATTTTTTTTCTTAAAGAGGCCATAATTGGCCAATTTAAATCAGTCAAGCAAATATTTGGTCTGTCTAGTGGGGCAGCTAGGGCTGTCTGAGGTGTTTGCACCCTGAACTGCCGTCATGTCAAGTTATTAATCTTAGTAGGGCCCTTGGGATTACTAAATAAATTTCATGAGCAAGTTGTGAAAATTTTAAGTTTTCTTATTAAACAAGTATGAGCTCATTGTTTTAAAATGACCTTATACTTCAAAAGTCAGAACTTAAACGTTGGAATTATGCAGAAATCCACTTAACACTATTCTAGTAGAAAGGTGAAGAAACGGTAAAATGTAGCAAGTGTTGTTCTTGGTTACCAGCTATAGCCAGTGTCTGACTGGGCTGTGATTGTTCATTAAATGAGTTTTCAGTTGCAGTCTCTCTGAATATCCCTTATTTATTATGCGCACAGTTTGCAAAGCTAGACTATTCAGATTATTTCATTGCCCACATTGTACCCACCTAAGAAGCTGCCCCCACATTTATAATTTAATCTACTACAGTACACTTTAGAAAATAAGGTTTATTATAGTATTTTATAGTTTTTTCCATGCCTGAGGAGACAAAGTTTAACCAGAAGACATTCACAGTCACCCCCAAACCTGGCTCTAAGACAGTGCCCCCGATTTCACTGATCCCAGCGAGGTTGGCTGTTTTAAATGGTCCTCCTTAATCAGCAAAGTTCTTCATTTGATCTGTCCACAGAGACACTGATTTAATGAGACACAAATGGATAAAAATGAAGACAAAAAGTTTAGTTCTGCAGAGATCATAACTTTTTGTTGAGAGACATCATTCTGAATTTCAAAGCTTGGTTGGGTCAGGGACTTCTGACTTTCCAAATGAGAATTCAGATTCAGTCCATTTATGCATCTCAATGAAGCATCGTGATTCTTCCCAGACTGAATGGTGTGGGAAACATGTAAAACACTTGATGAATGGTCCTTATCATCGGCTTCCTGAGTGAGCTACAGGGCTAAATGGACACATACAGTTTCTGCATRGTTGATTTTGTTTCAGTCGAACAAATGGGACACAATGTTCTTCATCTAATGTTGGAAACATAATTCTAGGATCTGCTAATTGTGTGATAGGTCTGTGTTAGGTCCTGATACATACAAGAATTCAACTGATTTTTTTTTTACGACATCACATTTCCACTTCAATCTAACATGACATTTTTACATTTCTAAGGCACAGAAGACTGTCTTTTCCTTAAAATACTTAATAATGAAACATAATGCAGCAGGGAAAATTACACTAACATCATGTAAAGGCTTGGATGACTCATCCCTTTGCAAAACTTCAGTACCACGTTGCCATGGTCCCAAAGCCTTGCATGTATCTGTAGATCAGTGTTTGGCAGCTGATGGCTTCAGGGTGGGCGCACCAACATTCTTTGTCCTGGTTACAGTCAACAAATTCACCTTGCTCTTGTACTGTTGTCTTGTTGAAACAGTCAGCCTGTAGAACTGTTCAAAAGGTAACTTCTGAAAAAAGTTAGTTCGTATCATTGAAGCTGAGGAGATGTGTCTAAAAACAACTGGCTACTAAGGTGGGTATACTGATTCYCTGACAAGAATACAGTTTTGCAAACATGCACATAAAATAGGCCAATATGCAAAAAGGGAGGTGGGGATGAAGGGGGCCATAAAACAGCTCACTTTGTAAAAGCATCATTTAATTTAGTTTTATTTTATTTTACCCTTGTTTAACCAGACAAATCACCTTGAGATTGCAGATCTCTTTTTCAAGGGAGGCCTGAGCCTAGTTTACTGTCCATCAAACAGCTCTGGTACCAGTTCCCCATGGATCTGTATCTTCTGGCCATCTACTTTTATTTGATTCCTGCCATAAAAATTCACAGGCAGCCATGTATTTCACATATATTTATTTACCTCTAAGCCAGTTTCGTATACAGTGTGTCCATTAAYAAACATTAATGCAGCCCAAAGATACAGATACTGAGCCACTTTTTAGTGTGGTGGTCTCTGACAGTGGTTCTCAATCCCAACACGTTTTGATTGCTAACAGATCTCTCAGTTCAKTGTTTAAAATTCAAGATGGCCACCATAGCTACTTCAGCAAAGTCCTCAAAACACTTTTAACAAATTGCTAATTTGTTTCATTAAAAATCAAGATGGCAACTACAGATACTTAAACATACCATTGTACCTCAGAAAACACAAAGTCAATCAGTCAATTTTACAGAAATTAAGCAAACATTGTGTGTGATGAGAGGTATCTCCAACAAATATTTTTAATGCTGCTCATGTTTTCTTCATTTTAAGATTAATGTTTGCTGTTGTTCAATGTCTGGAAACCAGAAATGGACCGGGATAGTAAAAAAAATAAACATGTCCTGTCAGAAAACATGAAGTAAATGAAACAAAGGAGATTTAAAACAAGTTTGTTGTTATCTTTGGAAGGTAACAGAGATGTGATGAGAGGATGATGTCTGCAATTTTCTGTATATTTGTATAAAAAATACTTCTTTGAAAATGCATCTCTAAAAAAAGTCTTTAAAAAAATCTTAAAGAATAAAGAAAACTCTGCTGTCAGTCCAGTGTCTGAGATGTGTAACAGTGAGTGTTGATCTTTCTGGATGTTGTAACCATATAAACAAACACAGAAACAAACCTAATAAAGACAATTATTTTGTTACACTCATGTTTCTTTGTGAACCTAGAGTTTGTTTGYTTTTTATTGCCCAGGTCCAGTTCCAAGTAAGAGGTGAGTTAGCACAGACAGGCTGGACGTTGGTCCGTTTGGTTCACAAAGAACCAGTGAGAACTTTATTAAAAAGGAATGACCCAGTCAACTCTGAAGTAAAGTTCAGTCTAATAGTTATCAGTGTGCACTTACACAGAGAATTTGCAGTGAATAGTGGGGGTGAAATGTGTGGGATGTGTCTGAAAGATGTGTCAGTTCTGATGCTGAATGTTGTCAGTGGTTATGCTCCACAGGTGATGTCAGTGCCCCACCCACTTTCACCTGTCCCCAGTAGTCATCTCATCAAATGTTTGTGATTTATTTTCATCAGCTTTGTCTCCATATTCCTACTTCCTCTCTGACTCCCTCAGTATACCAGACGTTCTTAAACTGGGGTTCGCAATTTTTTTTAATTTGTTTGTTTTAAAAAATGTAGAAGGGGAAAAATGCATTTGTAAAACAAACATGTTCCACCAAACAAACAAAAAATAATATTCTGTGGCATTTAGGGCTTAAAATGTCAGTAAATTGTTTTTAAAACAGCATGGGGTTTATGAAGGGGTCCCTGGAAACTTTTCACACTTACTGACACCCAAAAGGTTTGAGAATCCCKGTTTAATACAACCAGTCATGGCTAGCATTGTTTGTTTGTCCACCTGCCTGTTTGAATATCTGTGGACAAAATCCTTCAACGTTAGGAAAGAATTTTGGAGTTGTCACAAAGAATATCTCCTTACATCCGTGGTGATCTGGCAACATCTGCCTGAGCTGCAGCTCGCCATGATCTAGCACAAAGAACAGAACCAGAAGCTGCTTTTCAMTGATGATGTAATACTGTGACAACCAATCAGCATCCAGCAGAACTTTGTTTTACCAATCCCAGCTCATCAGGTGGACTCATTTCCATAATCTAGAGTCTTGGCAGAGGTGTGCACTGAGTGCCTCTGGGATGTTTTGCTTCCAACCAGGGAGCTGTAGTTGATGTTTCACTTCAACAACAGAACTAAAATCCAGTTGTTGTTGTTGTTGTTGTTGTTGTTTTCTTTGTTTGGCCAGGTCCATGAATGACTGAGAATTTACAACAGCATATTACTGGGTCCGTTTTGTCTATTCCCCTCATTCCATCCTACAGTGCACTTCTTCTGGTGTCAGCAATCTGTGTCAAATCTGAGCTTTGACAAAAATCACAAAATCATGACAGAAAGATATGGCTATGTGCATTCCTTCAAGCAATGAATTCATATTAGGTCAAAAATGACAATAATAATAATAATAATAATAATAATAATAATAATAA